GATTGCTAACGGTTGTTTTAGAGGTGATTCTTGTGTGTCACCGTTCCGTGATACTGGGATTCTTGCAATACAGCATGTAAAACTTTTTTGTTTTCTTTTGAATATATGGTATAGCATTGTTTACTTAACATCGAGCAACATAACAGTTTCAGGTCTTAATTGCCACCAACGTTTAGATCCATTCCTCACTATCCCTCTTCAGGGTGTGATGATTTTTGTTATGCTGGTCTTCTGGCTCTTATAACGACAAGGGCTGCAGTCAACAGTCTCTAGCGGAACCATCTGTGGAGTGTATCCTAAAGATCATGAAGTTATTGAAATATTGGTTGAAACGTCTATAGCATTATGTTACTCTAAGAATTATTTTTTGAGAAACGTACATGATTTCTTTATGCTTTTTAATTTTGTTGTATTATATAAAAATTTCTTTTTCTTAGTTATACATTATCTCCAGCTGACTGTGAATATTCAGTTGTTTTCTTTTTGCACTACAAAGTTGAATTCTAAGCAATCTTCCCACAGAGTACTCAGAAGGTTAAACTTTGAGTTGTTAACTTAAGTATACTACGGCAAATTTTGACGTGATATGAGTGCAAGCGAATCTTGAAGAAGTTCAAAGCAGTACGGGCAGCACAATACAAGCATTGGCATATAGGAAAATCCTCGGGGTTCAAGGACAAGGGCCTCCACATAGCATTCATCAGCACCTAAACATAAATTTACAACTTCGTATTACCTACACGGATTGCATAAGCCGAAAGTTTGTCTGTTCAAAATCTGCATATACTTTGATTGAAATGTTTTGTGGTTCTTGCTATATCCGAGCAAAGTACAGACGGGAGAAATGCACCGAATCAGTTATGCATCTTTCTTGCTCATCTCGGTGTTTAGTTCAATAGGTTTATAGGATTGGGAGAATTCTTTTATTCACTGGTGGATTTCGGCATCGCATGCCAACGTCATCATAACAGTAAAAATAGCTTGTTAACTTTTATTCACGATATTCGCTTGATAACTCATCTGCAATATGAAAATGTGTCAGTGAGTGAAAGATCAGACCTCATCCAAGTAGTTTGTTGCCTTGGACGATGAATCAAGAGCAAATCGGTACAGTTGTTATTCAGACCGGAAACAGGCGTTGTCTCCCTTCATAACTTATTTGAATACGGACTCAGTTTGCGAAAGAGATAGATCAAGATTATGATCGGTTATGACTGCGTGAAAACATTAATGAGATATACGATTTGAGTCGGCTCTGAAGACCTTTCTTTGTGTTTATAAATTCACAGCGCACTTTTTTACCAGCGTTGTCGTGGTGGCACAGTGCATAAGAAGTCAGCTTCTAACTCAAAGTCCCACTGCACTGTATTCAATTCTCGCGGCAACCAGTCTTTGTCTCTAACACCAAGTCCTTTGAGCAAAGAATTTACCACAGGTTGCTTCAAACGGGGTTACTCGTCGATTGTGCGTCAGACTCAGAAACGAGAACCCCTCAAATCGAATTCCGGTCGGGTTCACTGGCCTTTCTTCCGAGGTTTATAATCATGAGACTGCAAACTGCTTTTCACAGTAGCTGTCAATTCTGCCTTTAAGTAAAATATGGCACTCCTGGTTGGTGACATGGAAATGAGATTAGCGCTCTCACTCTAAAATTCATTAAACAACAATGTTCGAATTGGCCCAATCTTGTAAGTATAACGATCGCTAACATTCTAACGGTTACAAACTTCTTTTTTATTGGCGCGGCATCAACAAGTTTTCGACCGTTAATTAATGCGTTGCAGTTCGTTCGTGAATGTTGTGGTTGCGCCAGTTTTCGCGGTTCTGCAGTTCCACATCGCCGTCTTCGAAAGAACTGTTGTTGAAGCTGCGAAAGAAGACCGGTTTTTCCTACATCAATTGTAAAAAAGCATTGGACAGTTGTAACCGAGACTTGGAAAAAGTAGGCAATATTTTGCTCTAAATTTGTTTAATATTTTTGTTTTGAGGCTGAAAAATGGCTAGCGGAAAAGGCCAAGGAACTAGGTTGGCAGAAGGCGGCGAAACTGGCCGACAGGAAAACGACCCAGGGCTTAATTGGCGTGTACGCTAAGGATAACTTGGGAACTTTCGTCGAAGTGAGTCCTTGTTGTTGCTGAAGTTACCTGATTAAGCAGGTTTATTAGTGTTTATGCTTCACTGTGAAGGCGTTTAAATGCTATGCCCCATAATTCTGAAAAATTATGAAGAATAAATATCAGTGAGTGGACGTTCCGCTTTCCCGCGGTAATGATCCGTTGACTGCTGATTGTCTCAGGAGGCCCTTGTTCTTTTTGTCGTGCCTCTTGCTACTTCCAGTTGCCATCTTACATGGATAGTGGGTTAATTGATACGGCCTTACTACCTGGTTGGCTACTGCATACTCATGACAGGAAGAAGCTGTGGCATGCTCCTTCGTTAGAATTCATCGCCTGTTCGAACGTCTTTCTTGTTAACGCGCAAAATAGTCGTGTATGGGCAGCACAAGCATATCTAAGTTGAGTAACGATATAATGCCCTTGGTCTGATCTCTTCCATTAAGCCAATATAGCTTTGGAGCAGAACTCTGCCAGGACCAGATTTCGATTAGCCAGGCAGCATTGTTTTTGGAGTCATCGTGATGCGCAAACCTTTTCACATTATCAGAGAGGTTTTTATTAAACACCTGATTCTGTTGCGCTTTTGAATACAATCTGAGGAATTTACCGGCTGATGCAGGACCAGAACCATCGAAAAAGTTTTCTGAGGTTGCTGCCCCACTCCTCTAAAAGGAATAGCGATGCTCAATAGCGAATGGAGTCAGATGAAGAATATCGTCCTCAGGTCTCTAGGAGCAGTGAAGATGGTGTCTTAGCATCTGAAAACGCGCTTGGATAGAGTTAGCCCTATTGATATTGATATAGATATACGATAAAAATTTGAATTGAGAAAGATAAAATACCGGATTTGCTGAGAAATCTGTTGAAAACCTGCGAATATATCAGGTGATCATTGTTTCTCTTGTGTCAGTTTATGTACTTTTTTCTGAAGGGATGTCATATCAGTACATTTTGGCAAACAGTTGCCGCCCTCTAGAATTGCATATGGATGCCATTTTCTGCATGGAATATTTCTTTTTTGAAAATGCTCTGATTTTTTTGCACAGTGATAGGTCAGTTGTTAAGTTCTCCTGAGGCGAGAATCCTTCGTGAGCTTAGAAGAAACGTTCGGTCCAATAGAAAACTGTAATCAAGAACTGACAAACTTCATGCTGATCTGTGTAGGAAACCTTGGATATGAATCTGAATAGAAAGATAATACAACTTAGATATCATTATCCATGGAGGTTTGAGTTCACTGACTAAAACTAGTTTCTATGTTACTCTTGAGAATAAAGATATTTGTCACTTTACTGGAACGTACCTGACATTCTTGCCTATCCTCTTACTTCTGGAGGCATGGGGCTCTCATAAATTGGTCACTGATCACCACAGGTCCATGACACTACGGCACATGGATGCAAAACCGCATCATTGTATTGGATCGAATAACTGAAACTAGAAACATGTTTGTCGTGCCTTTGTTAGTATGTCTGTTTTGATAGGGATAATACTGCCTGCTTGTATATTGTGCCAATTCGTATTCCTAAGACTGTCAGTGATTAGTGACCAGTAACGAATGACTCCTCCAGGACCAGATTTCACGGCGTGTTGCACCCTCTGCTTCTGGTTGTCTAGGGTAACGGACCATTTTAAGCAGGCCATGGCTCCATGTTTTTTGGGCACTTGCAATACCTGAGGTGTCTTGCATCATTTTCTCCGCTGGAGCCATCTCGCCCTCAACATGGACAATCTTCAGGAGTTGGCACCCCTTACATACTACCGCAGAAACATCATAAGCTGTTCGTGCACCCGAATATCTTGGCCAACAAATAACTCATCCGACAACAGATTTCATGGCGTATTACCCCGTCCCCTTGCTCCCTATTATTGTTTGACCCAAGCTTATGACGGCTGATGGTTCTTCCCCCTGATATGCGTTCCCTTTTGTTTAACTTTCATTTTGGTACTGTTCTGTAAATTTTCTCTCGATATTTTCCTGAGCAACTAACTTATTCTAACTATATTGTTGTAATGCTTTAGTTTTGTTTTTGCATCTTCACAAATTTTTATCTAACAATTGTTTAGATTTTATTTTGTTTTCTTTACTACTAAATATGTGCTTCGTTGTTAATTTTTTGCTCGTTTCTGATATTTTTTCTGTACTTATTTATTAGTAAATGCTTATTTCTAGTTTTATTAATTTTTTTTCGCATTTCTGTTTGCTTGAAAAAGCGCTGTTTTCAAGATTAACTGTGAAACCGACTTCGTCGCCAGAAGTGACGAATTCAAGAAACTTGTGGCTGCCGTTGCTCGTGGTTGTCATCGGTTTGCCATGGCTGTGATGGATACTGACGATACGCTGACCGCTAAAGTAAGGCCTTCTTTACAACTTCTTCTGCATTCTTTTTGTATACTTCAAAGGATTGCCAGAAAATAAATGGCAAAAACGTCTGATTGTACATGTTAATTTTTTCCTCGGTTTCGATCACCGCTCATCCTTCGGTGTCGCGGAATCAGGGCGTGTGTTTGCCGATGTCTGCAACGTTTCTGATCCGGTGCCAGCTTCTGAGGTTCGGTTGAAGATGACGTGAATTCTAAGGTGAAGACCATCGATGTACTTGTCCTAGGTCATTCTTGGAGTTCCCTTGCGGTCTTACAAGTAGCAGTCGGTTGTACAAATAGTGGCTGTTTCGCCTTCCTTTCAGAAGCATTCGCAGAGAGTGCTCAAACCGTCGCAGCTGCTATTTCTGGAAGTGGAAAAATGATAGCCAAGGCTTTAGCAGATATCTGATCTCTGGATTTTCACCAGTAGGGTGAGCCGAACGACTCATCTCCTAAAACTCATTTCTCCCGCTTGTACCAAGGATTAAACTTTTTCAGTAATGGACCT